CCTTCCCCTCCCCCTCCCTGCCTCCCGCCCTCCCTGACTTCTTGCGCGCAGCGGCCGCACCAGCTGCACACACAACGACACACACAGCACTGTCTGTGTGCTTGATGCTGCTGTGGGTGTGGGTTTGCGTGTTGCTTACCGTCCAGCAAGTCATACACCGCGTTGTCCAGGTGGACCACCCCCCCTCTCCGAGCGCCGGAGTGCTGCTTCGCCCTTGAAGGTGCCGGTGTCCTCCTCGTCGCCTCTCTTGAGCTTCTTCTTGCCACCGCCGCCCTTGCCGCCCTTCCCGCCACCAGGCTTCTGCTGAGCGACGCCTTCATGAGACGGCTGCAGCTGGTCTCTCTTTCGCTTGGGGCGGGAAGGCGGCGTGGCCGGCTCAGGTTGCGCAGCGGCGGCGGCGGCAGCAGTCACCACACGAACGCGGCGACGCGGCCTCTCTTTCACAGGGCTCGCAGCGGCCGTCTCGCCCGCGGCCTTGCTCGGCGCCATCTCAACATCGCCGTCTGCATCAACATCGACATCTCCCTCACCACCAGCAGCAGCACCATCCTTGCGGCGCCTCTTGCTGCGTCTGGCGCCGCTGCTGTCGTTCTTGTTGACGGAGCTCTCGATGGGCGGGGGCGAGGGTGAGCGCTGGCTGACCTGCCGCTTGCGGGTGGACCTGCGGGGGCCGCCTCCCTGCCCGAGTGTGCCGCTGGTGTCCTGTGAGTCCTCCAGCTGGGAGGGGGAGGGCGTGTTGTGCCCGGCGGGCGGGGGTGGACGAGGGGGGAGCACCATCGACGGCACACCGTCGCGCGAGTAGTAGGCCATGTAGGCCTACAGCCAGCCAGCCATGGGATTGAAACACACAGACAGACAGACAAGGTGGGAGGATGTTGTGTGTGTGAGTATGTCGGTGGGATGGGTGGGGGTTTGAGTGGGTGCCTTGCCCACCTGCTGTGAGAGGACAAACTCGTCAGTGAATTCGGCCACGGGCTTGGAGTCGTCATACAAACACCATCGACGGGGCCGGTCGGAGTCATCATCGTCTTGCACGAGAGGCTGCATTAGCCTGGGGCCCTGGGGCTGCGCATGGATAAGGGGCGAGCGGGCCCAACGACCCGCCACATTTTCTTTCGTTCGTCCTCGAGCTGCCAATTTGCATGATGAAATTGCATCTGCCGGGACGAAACGGCACCCGAGGGAGGCAGTGGGGAAAGCAATGAGTACGATCCTGTCTCCGCATTCCACTTTCTGTAAATGTCGAGAATCAGAGACGGCGAAAACAGATTCTGCCATCAACACAGATTCTGGTTAACCAGCGCTGGAAAAATGAGGTTCCGCAGGGAAGCTGACCGCCCATACGGCATGAAGAAGCAGCCCCAGGCCACCATGTCGTCCACAGGCCGAAAGGCCCGATGCCGGTCAGCCGCGCCATCGCCGTCGCTCCGTCACCCTCCACCGACCCCAGCCAAGGGCAGGGCATCGACGCTCACAGTGGCCTCGAACAGCCCCAACTTTGCCACGCCGACAGCGTACGACGAGCAGTGGACACAAAGGGTGAGCGACCTGGAGGGTATCCCTCGTCTCTCGGGGCATTGTGCACTCCTATATGGTATGTGCTGTTGTGG